TATGTAAAGCATGAGATGGTGAGTGCAGAAGTGCAATGGTGTATTTTTATTTCTATCTGGTGTTGTCTGTTGTTTGAAGAAACGTGAACGATATAGATCTTTCTGGGATAGGTGAGTGGCCCTGAAAAGGGCCGGGGTTGTCGATCTTGTTCGGATCCTCCTTACGCACGCTCGCCACGGATGCGACGTGCGAGCTGAATGTCCTTGGGCATGATGGTCACACGCTTGGCGTGGATGGCGCACAGGTTGGTGTCCTCGAAGAGACCCACCAGGTAGGCCTCGCTGGCTTCCTGCAGGGCCATGACCGCCGAGCTCTGGAAGCGCAGGTCGGTCTTGAAGTCTTGGGCGATCTCTCGCACCAGGCGCTGGAAGGGCAGCTTGCGGATGAGCAACTCCGTCGACTTCTGGTACCGGCGGATCTCTCTCAGGGCCACGGTGCCGGGCCTGTAGCGGTGAGGCTTCTTCACCCCGCCAGTAGCCGGCGCGCTCTTGCGGGCAGCCTTCGTGGCCAGCTGCTTACGGCTTCTTTTTTCTATAAAAACACTGCGGGGCACGTCAAGCCATTTATAATCAGGCTTCTTTCTCATGAAACTATGCCGCACTACTTTGTGCCCGGACTACTTTTGACTACGGGGTTCAACTAGGGTTCACCACGAGGGCCTGCATGGGGTTCACCCATACACGAGGTTCAACTAGGGTTCACCACGAGGGCCTGCATGGGGTTCACCCATACACGAGGGTCTGCATTGGGGTGTGGCCATTACGAATTACGCAAATTTGATTCTCATAGCTGGCTGATTTTTAAGAATTGTACCGGTAGTACGTTAGATCATGAGGCACATTGGATCATGAGAGGGTCTGCATGCCCTTTTTCGTTAACCGTTATGGGCTATTTTAATTCTCCGTTAATCGTTGCCGGCCTGCTCTAATTCAACGTTAAGCGTTATCGGTATATTCCTCGTGAAGCGTTATTGGTCATTTTAATTGTACGTAAAGCGTTATTTGTCATCCTAAATTCAGCGTTAAGCGTTAATGAATAATTCTTCGTTACGCCTAATTTTGCCTTTCAAAGTGCAGGAAAATGCGTCATTGAAGATTTAAAAATACAAAATTTCCCGGGGGAGAATACCCCCGGACCCCCCTACATTGCTCGCGCCTTTGGCGCTCGACTCGCGCTTCTGCGCTCGGTCCCTTCGGCTCAAGCCAGAACCAGCTTTCCCGTCAATTTCCGGAAGTTTGCGGAGAGTTACAGAATTTTTTTTAACGAATCCGTCAACCTTGACAGGCAAATTAACAAAAATCTTGAGTAAAATATGAAAACATCAGAAGGACCGACAAACACTCTCAACACCATGATTTGCCTCTCAAGATGCGGGAAATTGCCTTTTTGAAGGCTTAAGAATCCTAAATTTCCCGGGGGAGCATCCCCCGGACCCCCCTAGATTAAGATCCCCTCTCAAAATCCATCGGTCAAACTGGGCGGACTGAAAAAATGCAAGCTGGCCGACGTCGACTCGGACCCCCTGTATTTGTGGACGCACTCGGGGACCAGGGCAAGTGGGAAACACAGGGAACACATACATTTAATGCGTGCCTCATTACATGTAAGATATACGTAATTTTGTCAGTGATCACCTTTTCTCACAAAGCGAGATACCAAATCCAGTGCAGCTCGAAAAAAAAAGCCTGTAAATTTACCGTTAAGCGTTGCCGACCGTCCTGAATTTACCGTTAAGCGTTATCGGCCCTGCTGAATTCACCGTTAACCGTTGCCAGGACCCCCCCATGCAGACCCTCTCATGAGGCTTCCCAACCAACTGTAGATACTGGCTTCCTAGATGTGGGGCACTCCGTTCACCTCTCACCTGATTCAACTTTTGCTGACCGTGCCATGCCCTTCGAGACCGGGCCCAGCTTCTTGGTCAGAGTTGGTAAGGGAATTTCGTTTTGGCGGGAAAATTCTGCGGAGGGGGGGGGCAGGGGGGGCATGCACCCAAGGGAAAATTTAACTCTCTTTAACGTCTTAAACTTCGTTGCGCATGCGTCGCCACCGCACGCTTCTCCTTGTCTCTCCTCTCCCCCCTCCTCTTTTTTCCCTATTAACGTACAATATAAGCCCCGTTCCCTTCATGTAAACGTCTCTTAATGTCCTAAAGACGTCCAGAAGTGTGCCGGACCTAAATTTTTTGTGAGATAGCTGGTGAAAACATACCAAACTCGCCACCCGTTCCAAGGGTGGGAGGGCGAGCTCAAGCTAGCACGTACGTCTCCGGCGCCCTCTCGCCGCCTAGGTGCCGGGGGCGCTCCTTCACGTGAGTTTTTACTCCAGTCTCTAGTACTCTGCCAGCATGTCGCTGATGCTTTACAGGTCAGTAGTCATTGTTTTACTGTTTTTTAATGTAATCCATGCCACGACTGTTGGTTCCGGCCCAGGTAAAGTATGCAGGACGAAGCCGCCATGTTTGATGTTTCCCGGCTCTAGCGCCCAAACACCGATATTCTCGTCATGGTATCCCGTTCTCAAGCTTAAATACCAACGAAACAGTTTCCTGGCTGAGCCTCAATTTTGCTCCCACTGGTCTCCTAATGAGACACGCCAAGTATTTGCGAACAACAGATAGGCTATGCCTGCTCTACATTTGCTCCGTTCTTATGGCACAGGCCGAGGACCTGGAAACAAATCCAGGCCCTCGTGCTCCAAAGTACCCCTGTGGTTCATGTGGTAAAGCTGTAACCTTTAAGCACAAAGCAGTATGTTGTGATAAATGTGACTTCTGGTTCCACCATGACTGTCAAGGCCTTAGCTCCTTTATGTACTCCTATTTAGGAAATTCAAACGTATCTTGGATTTGCTTAAACTGTGGCCTGCCAAACTTCTCCACAACTTTCTTCTCGAATTCCGATGACTTGTCTTCTCCTAATCCATTTAGCCCACTTAGTGATGCCAGCCCTGGAGTCCCCTTGGCTGCATCATCCCCAAAATCTCCAGTACAAAACAAACGCAAGCTTAATGGTAGACCCCTGCGTCTCATAAATGCAAATTTCCAATCGCTTAAAAACAAGAAAGTAGAGCTAGAAACCCTTGTAGAGGAAACAAAACCCGACATTCTTGTCATTACAGAAACATGGTTAGATAGCACCTGCAACATAACTGAATACTTCCCAAATCACCTCAACATGCAAGTGTTTTATAGGAATAGACCAGAAGATAGCCACGGTGGTGTTCTGATAGCAGTCTCTAACGAGTTTATATGTACACAAGAACCAGACCTCGAGACCGACTGCGAGATGGTATGGGTTAAGATCGAACTTGTAGGATCCAAGAGCCTAAACATATGTGCCTATTACAGACCGCAAGTAGGTGACAGCGTTAGTCTTGACCTCCTAGAGCAATCTATGGAACGAATATGCAACAAACGAAATAACCATGTATGGATTGTCGGTGACTTTAATTTTCCAGGCTGGGATTGGGTAGACCCCCACCAACCGGTACTCAAGCCAGATAGTCCCTACCCAGGTTTGCATCGCCGGTTTCTGGAACTACTCAGTGACCACAATATGTCCCAAGTTGTTGACAAGCCCACCAGGTACGATAACACATTAGATCTAGTGCTCATGTCTAATGACAATTGTGTTAACTGTGTACGTACTCTACCCCCAATCGGTGACCATGACTTAGTTTTTGTTGAGGCAGACCTAAGGCCTCAAAAACAAAAAGCAAAACCTCGCAAACTTTTCTTATATAAGCGCACCAATTGGGAAAAGTTTCGGGACGAAATGGAAGATTTTAAAACAGAATTTCTGGAACTAGCGGAAGGTGAGTCCCAGGTTGACGAGCTGTACAATAAATTTGCATCTAAATTATCCAGCTGTGTCGATAATGTCCAGCAGTAAAAAACAGCTCCCCTACATAACTCCTCAACTAAAGAGCCTGATGAGGAAAAGGGATCGCTATTACAGAAAGACTAAAGGAGAAAACACAATTGAGAGAAAAGAAAAGCTCAACCAGTTCAAAAAGGAAATAAATAAGAAAATGAAAGAGTGCTACTGGAAATACATTGAAGAAGTAGTACTCGACATAAATACAGACACAACTGACCCTGGCCAAAGTAAGTCTCCATCGTGTAAACAAGGCAACAAAAAATTCTGGAGCTTTTTGAAAAGCCTGAAGTCCGAGAGAGCCGGAGTATCCCACCTTAAGAACGAAGGTAGGCTCATCTCGGACGGTAAGACCAAAGCAAACATACTAAACCAGCAATTTCAGTCAGTTTTCACTACTGAACCCCTAGAAGGCCCTCTGCCCAACATGGGGCCTAGCCCTCACCCACTAATGCCGGAAATTAACATCGTTACAAACGGAATCACAACCCTGCTGGAAAACCTAAACCCTCACAAAGCATGTGGCCCGGATCATGTGCACGCATGTGTCCTTAAAGAACTCAGTTCTACATTGAGCCCCTTTCTCCAGGTGATCTTTCAAAAAAGTACTTGACACTGGAGCTGTACCAGAAGCCTGGAAGGAGGCTAACATCGCCCCGATATACAAGAAAGGCAATCGTCTTGACCCAGCAAACTACCGGCCCATTTCCTTAACATGTATCTGTTCAAAAATCATGGAACACATCATAGCAAGTTCTATGATGTCCCACTTTGATACTAATAATATCTTGTACGATCTCCAACATGGATTTAGGCATGGCAGGTCATGTGAAACTCAACTTCTATCCCTTATTGATGATTTGGCCCACAACAGGGAAAACGGGACCCAGACGGACCTTATCATTATGGATTTTGCTAAAGCCTTTGATAAGGTTCCTCATCTACGGCTAATACACAAACTCCAGTTTTACGGTATTTCTGGTAAGGCACTTGTCTGGATCCAGAATTTCCTGCAGGGCCGCTCACAAACCGTAGTGCTAGACGGGGAGCGCTCGGACCCAGTGCCTGTAACATCGGGCGTACCTCAGGGTACAGTCCTGGGCCCGATTCTCTTTCTAGCATACATCAATCGACCTTACCTAAATACGCTGCACATGCTAAAGTCAGGCTTTTCGCCGACGATTGCATCTTGCAGATGAGTATTAAGGAAGAAGACGACTGTAAAAGACTGCAGCATGACATCGATAGTATTTGTAGTTGGGAGAAGGAGTGGTTGATGGCCTTCAACCCATCTAAATGTGAAGTGATGACCGTCCCCTCTTCTAGGAACCCAATATCGTTTCCCTATTCTCTCCATGACCACGTTTTAACCAAGGTAAGTACCACCAAATATCTTGGTGTCTCCATCTCCTCAAACTTGACCTGGGGCAGACATGTCGATTTAGTTACAGCGAAAGCAAACAGAACCTTAGGAATGTTAAGACGCTGCCTGCGAATCTCAAGCAATGCGGCAAAGGAGAGAGCTTACATGGCTCTTGTAAGACCCTCCTTAGAGTACGGCTGTAGTGTCTGGGATCCCCACACCAAGGACCAGGTGAGTAGGGTGGAGATGGTCCAGCGTAGAGCTGCCCGTTTTGTAAGCAATGACTACAGACGTACAAGCTCTGTTTCAACTATGTTGCAAAACCTGGGCTGGCAGTCTCTGGAAGTACGTCGGAAGATCGCCCGCCAGGTCATGTTTTATAAGATTATACATAATGCTGTCTCCGTCCCACACTCAACCAGGATTGTCCCGGTGGCTCGATGCTCCCGCCGCATCAATCACACTCAAACATTGCAGGCCATCGCGAGCAGAACCAACTTCTACAGGCTCTCGTTCTTCCCCCGTACCATCAGGGAATGGAACGAACTTGAGCCTGGTGCGGTGGAGGCGGGGTCTCTCGCCCAGTTCAAATCTGAACTGGCGAGGACCCTGCTGCATTGAGTCACCCCATCATGTCTTGTATATATGTAAATATTACTAACGCACTAATGCACTTGTCCTGTCTTTAGCACACACAAAACCAGTTGTCTTATGTTCCTTTCTCAGTTATCCTTGTTTTTCCCTTTGTTTTTTTATGTACCGGGCACAATTGTTACTAACAATATTGCGTAACGACTGCCAATAATACTACTCCGTAGTGCTGGGCAGTAACGAAGAAGAAGAAGAACTAGCCAAGGTGAGGGCCTGCATGCCCCTTTTCGTAAGTAATACCTATAGTTTTCGTGAGTAATACTTATAGGCCTTTTCAGTCTTCGTAATCCCAGAAATCAACGTAATTCGTAATCAGTACATTGGCCGCAAAGCGTAAAGTCGTATATTTGCATATTCATATCTTCCCACATTAACAATATAAAACAAAATACATGTATGTACGCCTCACGAAAGCATGTATTACATGACTCTAGTTTTTATTACATATATTAACACTTCAAGGATTTCTAGTATTATCGTGTAATATGATATCGTTGTACTGCTTTTGCTGTTGTTAAATTTTAACGTATACATGCATGTACACCAAAAGATAACACACTCCAGAAAGTTCGTAACTCATTTATTGAAATATATGACTGGAATTTGTACTCCATCAATCATTATGCATAGAAAATTAAATTAATTTCTAATACATCACAAATTCAGGAATTATCTTTAAAAATAATCAAATCAATCAAATACTGTACTTCCTATCCTAAAACATAAACCATCTTTTTATCAATTGCCACATTTACAAATTCATAGATTACAAATTCATAGATGATTGATGTGTGCTCTGTACACATGAAAAAGTATGGTATTAAACATAAAATTATTTCTTCTTCACAATATGCAAACTTGGCCATAATAGTAATACACCATGACAAAGTACATAGAGTATTCAAGGTCTATCTACAGTAGTAGTGACACTTCTTATCCCTAAGTAATTCAAATTATTCACCCTCAAAACAATGATGCGGAGAATACAGCATAGCCACCAATTATTCACTATCACCTTTACAATCTTTACAAGCTTACAAACTTTCATAATTGCACCTTTAAATTCTGGTGAATTTCAATACCTTACAAACAAATGTATCATCATTAAAAATAGAAATTATAGTTGAACTTTAATAATCTACTAAAGGCTTTTCAGCAATAGGTTTGTATACAAAACAGCCCTTAGGCTACACCAATTTTTCTAGAAAAATAATGGACTGAGCTGAAAAAAAATGAAAATAAAAACAGGCCTAGGCATCCTATTATGGCCCAAAATGGTACGATAGGAGCCATGAAGTCAACACACCAGGCTGGTTCAAAATTTAAACAATGAATTTTGAACTTTTAATGATACCACTGCATTGAAAGATGGAATAACTGTAATAAGGACTGTTTTCATGAGCATTTTGCAGTTGATTTGGATTTTTTTTTGCAAATCAGAAAAAAATGAAGCGGGCGAATCTGTTAACCAAGAAATTAAATTGGTGTGGCCTTATATTGAAACTATTGCAGAGAGTCCAAGTCAAAAGCAGAATGAAGTTGTACAAGTTATTAAATACTGGTACCAAAATCACTGAGTACATTTCACTCTCTAGCAGTGTTTTTGTTAGCTCCAAAGCTTTCTCCCAAAACCACTGAAAATCTCATTAAAAAAGGAGTTAGTTGGTTGTTATTGAGTGAACAGGTTGAACAAATGTTTCGTGTCCTATATGCATCTTATAAGCCTCAGATTATGATATATGTACATGCATGCACATTCTTGAGTGGTTTGCTGTGCTCAGAATGTCACAGATACTCACTTAACTTGTACATCCAACATAACACCACACTTCATTTACTGTTGATCATGCTGATCTTCCTCTGGTGAACCTTTCTTGTGTTACAAAAATAAAGAAAAAAAGAAAAAGAAAAAATAAGCCTTGTCATTTGTGTAAACATGCTGGTGAGAAATTTTACATGGGCAAAGAGAAAAAGAAGGGCAAAAATTATTATCTTAAGACCAAAAGTTACTTTACTTTTTCTTTAGGTGAATCTTGGGGCTGTAATCCTAGTGTAGCAATGGTGGCTGTCTTGTCATCTCTAGAGAGAGAGATTCTCTTTATTAAAACTTTCCTCACAAGATAAAGTACAGAGGATTCCGCTTATTTGTATAGCCTATTTGTCAGAGCATTTTATACAGTTACCCGGCCTATACGATAGGCCGGAATAGCATTGGTAACGGCCCG